TGCACTCTGTGGGACCATGTTGTCGTCACTCAGTGGAAGATCTGTCTTCTTAATAGTAACCAGGAGCAGTGTTTTACTTTGACTTTCAGTAGAGAATGACAACCATTCACACATGTGATGGAAATTATGGGGAAACTAGATAGGTAAAGTTACTTTTCTGACTGCATGTCCCAGAATTCTACAGCCACAATAACTGTTATTAATTGCAGAGCAGGAAATATACAGTAGATCCTTGGTATTCACTGGGGTTTGGTTCAAGGACCCACCCGAATACCAAAATCCATGGATGCTCAAGTCCATTAAATACAGTGGCACAGTAAAATGGTGACCTTTACATAAAATGACCAAATCAAGGTTTGCTTTTCTGAATTTATATTTTTGTGGGGAATATTTTCAAGCCTTCGATGCTTGAATCCGTGGAGAAAGAATCTGTGGATATGGACAGCCAACTGTATTTAGTTCCCATGTGTATTGTATTGCCCATTACTAGTTATTTTTGGACTGTTGTAGTGTGTATGCTGAATGGAGGATTTCACATATAGGCCAAAAAAAAAAGCATGTTGTCCAATCTCTGCATATAGACTAAATATATTTTCTCCTCTGGTTATCATCAATCACTGAGAACCAACTTTTCTTCTGTCTGTATACTTCAGCCCCCTTTTTATTTCTTTGTTCATAATTTATACGGAATGTGAGCACACATGGATACATTCAAGGTGCCCATTTTGGATTCACAAGTGTTTACCATGTGTGCTTCTCCAGTCATATGTAAAATTAGCAAGACATTGCCCGGGAGGGTTAGCTGCTGGCTTGGTAATATAATATATAAATTGACTAATACACTTTGCAATTGCATTTAACCATGAAGAAACACACAGACAATGTTTATATGCACACAGCTTCATCCATGGCTCACATTCAGTGCAAATCAGGCCAGAGACCTATGAGGATACTATGGGAAAGTGGAACAAAGCATTGAGAACTGTGTTGATAGATACATGCTATGATGTGAGCACTGCTATTTTAATGACTGAGTTATGCTTTGTGTTGTTCTTCTGCAATAAAAACAGTTGCAACCAAGTTGATTGATAATAAATACAAGCTCAAGATGAGTCCCCAAATGAAGAACATTTTAATTGATAACTGAGCCATAGACTACATCTTTAAAAGGGTTTGCATTTATCTTAATATCAGTACTGTATTTGCTTTACAAAAGATTAGCTACAAAACAATGTGTGGTGCCAAGTGCTCTAACCATACAGGAAACAAAGCAGTAAGTCAAAGAAAAGTCCATGGGGACATAAGATACAATGGAAGATGTTTTTGTGACTGTATTTTCTCCTGTGCTTCCCTATACATTGCAATCCAATGTCATGTCAAAAAATGACTTACCGCACAAGGAAAGGCAAAACTGATTGGCGAGAGTAGTGGCTTTTTCTGTGCCACTCCACATGCTGTCACACAGCACTTCCACTCTCTTCCCAAGGGAAGACGGTCATCAATGGGCCTTTTGCTGAATGGGGAAAATCAGTCTGGTAAAACATATGCTTTGATGACCATCTCCCTTCGGGAAGAGAACGGAAGTGCTATGATAGCATGCAGAGCAGTACAGAAAAGCCGCTACTCTTTCCATCAGTTTCGCCTTTCTTTTCTTGCAAAGTAAAGGATTGTATTGGAAAGAAACAATACAATAGTGACAGAGAACCGTTTGTTCAGCACTGTAGCTTTTCATTCTACTTAATCACAACTTTTTATTGGTATCACAGTGATGTGTATTGCATTGTCCTCCCAAAACAGAACTGCAGAGTCCAGATAACAAATTTAGACAGGCTTAGCCATTGTGTCTATTTTCACTTACAAACAAAATTGGAAAAATAATTTAAATTTATAGGCATTGGTTTTGTCTGGAGTGGGTGAGATAATTCTATAGCAGGGATGGGAACCTCCAGCCTAGGAAATTAAAGCTTCTGCCTTTCCAGCTCTTCCTTAGTCTCCATCCAATCTCCACAGGAACCAAAAAAATAAAAGGGGGAAAAAAAGGAAAAAAGCTCCTGTCTCCGTTCAGAAATACAAGCAGGATTTTGTTGTTCACTGCTGGGGGAAAAATAATGTCCTGTAGTCATGGGGCAGGGAAAACTCCTTCTAGTCCCAGTTCATTGGGAACTGCTGGGAAGCTGGATCTGTATAATCTGTATGGATGAATGAATGGTGGAAAAATGGGTAAGGCACATTTCCTATGGCCTCAGGTCATGCCTATGGCTGATGTGATGTCCCTAGCAGGCTTCCAAGGCAGTGATGACTCCACTTTAACTGCCATGCCAACATCCTATTGAATCCTGGAATTTGAAGGTTTTTTGGGGGAGTCACTTAGAACAGTGATCCCCAACCTTTTTATTGCCGTGGACCGGTCAACGTTTGATCATTTTTCCGCGGCCCACTGGGGGTGGGGTTGCGGCGTTGCGTTGATTGTTAAAGATCAGCAGCCCGGCCGCGGCCACTTTAAATCAGTGACCAGCGGGTGCTGCTGCAGGCCAACACTCCCCTGCCCATCGTCCCCTGCCCACCATCCCCTGCTGGCTCCTCTGAACAGCGTCAGGGACGTCACTCATCATTCACTAAAGCCACGCACAGAAGCCCCGCCCCCACGCTGATCAGCTGGGCCGGGGCATGTCAGCAGACACAGGAGTCCCGTCCCTGCGCTTATTATCGGGACTCGCAAAAGTCGCGGGTTGGGGACCACTGACTTAGAACACTCAGCCGGAGGGCACCTCTGATGCCTCAACCATACTACAAACCTTGGGATTCTATTAGATGTAGCTAAGCCATTAAAGTGGTATTGTAGTGCTATAATTGTGCAGTGTGAAAGGGCCACTCGTAATTAGTCTCCATCCTTGTTGTGGTGGATAAATGACTTAACATGTACCAAACTTAGAAGCCAGTTCAGTACAATTTCTAGATCAGAAAGAATTAAGTGTCTGCAGATTCAGCATTTTGAATTTTTTGAATTAATTCTTCCATCATACTGACCACCTCCGGCCTTGGTTTTCAGCAACTCTCATTGCTTGTGAACCTTTTTCCTGGAGGCTTGCTTCTTCCAAAAATAATAATAATAATAATAATAAAAATCCTCATTTGAATAATAATGAATTTCTAGCAGAATTGGTGATTGATGCTCTGGGGAACTTTTCATATTGCTAATGGTATGATAAAACTTGCATCACATTTTTAACACTATGCAGCTAGGCTAGGAGGCAGCATAGTGTACTTGTTGAGTGTTGGACTAGGACTCTGGGTGATGAGGGTTTGAATCCCTGTTCTGTCACCAAAACCTGTAGGATGTCCTTGGGCAAGTTACGCTTCCTAGGAATAGATCTTGCTGAGAAAATCCTAGGGGAGATAGAGCTGACTTGAAGGTACATAAGAAATGTGAAGTACATAATGATATGCTTACGTTATTTTAGCTGCTACATCTATAAAGACTTTATACTGTAATAGGAATTAGTAGTGTTTATTTAATATTTATTACATTTTAAATCATACCTTTATATTTGTCTTTCTACCCAACAAAAAAAAAATCTGGATTAAATTCCATTTTACATTTCCAGATTGACTGCATTAGCCTTTGTATATTTCTCCAGTAAATCTTTGCATTCTCACAAGTCCATATGTGGTAAAAATACCTTTGTGTGTATTACATTTCCAACCCATATTCCTCCCTTATACACCTTAGGCAGTCTTGATGAAGTCAAATACCATCTATATATCATTTTATAAGTTTTCCCTTAAATTATAACAAAGCACATCTTGCAATCCCACTGTCCACATTTTTCCCAGTGCTCCATTTTCAACATTATAGCCAGAATTTTGTGCATACTTCCATGTACTCCTTAATCAGTTCGTTCATCCTCTAAATCTGATTTTAACAGCATCTTATACATCTTTCCAACCAAATGTTAATCATTTTCACATACTCAATTCAAAATGCTTTCTCTTTCAAATCCCAAAGTTCTCATCTAATTTATATCTTTCAAAAAGTTGTTTATAGCTATACCAACTTAAAACCATCTCTTATTAATTCTTCACACGGTTTAAGTTTAAATTTTATTTCCATCTAAGTAAAACTTTATAGGTAGTTCATTTCTCATCAGAAGCTTTATCTCTTCTAAATAACACTCCTTGAATAGAAACCCAAAATGGCATTCTAGGGAAGAACTGAACTTTGCATTTATTCTATACTATTAAAATGGTATGTCTCAACAATCAAGACGATGTATTGGCTAAAATGTTCTTTTGTTTCAGACTTTACCCATTTTGACAAATGATTCTCCCTTTTTGGAGTGGCAGAAGGATATAATGAAGTTTATATGGAAAGGCAAAAAACCTAGAATAAGATTTAAGCTTTTAAAGGATTAAAGAGAAAGAGGTGATTTAGGATTACCAGATTTAAAATTATAGTATGATGCTTCAATTCTGGTTTGGTTAAAAGAATTGATACTTTTAAAGGATGAAAGATTATTAAATATAGAGGGGCATGATTTGAGATTTGGTTGGCACTTTTTTTAATGATATGACAAAGTTAAGGTAAACAAAAATTTTAATAGTTTTTTTTTGTTTTTCGGGCTGTGTGGCCATGTTCTAGAAGAGTTTCTTTCTGACGTTTCGCCAGCATCTGTGGCTGGCATCTTCAGAGAAAATTTTAATGATCACTACATAAGGAATTAGCAGGGTTTAGTGGCAAACCCATTTTTCATCACTCCCATTTGCCAGATGTATTGGAGCTCAGATTGGGGATGGGTGGTCTAAGTCTTATCCCCAAGTTTGTCCCCTTGATACCAACTCAGAGGCAGAAGGGGTTTGGGCAAGAAAACTGATGCCTGTAGCAGTGGATGTGCTGCCTGTGCCTTTATAAGAGATAAGATGGAGCCTTATCTGCCACTTTCCTGTCCTACAGCTTTCAAGAATGTGGTTCACATGACTATTGACCAGGATCTTACTTGACAGCCAGCATGGTATAGTGGTTTGAGCATTGGACTACAACTCTGGAGACCAGGGGTCAAATCTCTGCTTTGCCATAGAAACCCACTGAGCAACCCCGGGCAAGTCACACACTCTCAGCCTCAGAAAACCCCATGTAGGTTCACTTTAGGATCACCATGAATCAGAAATGACTTGAAGGCAAACAAGAACAAGTCAACTGGGTGCTTGTTATATTAGAGCCCCTTCCTATCAATTCTGGCCACTAATTGAAAGGATGGTTTCATTTTTTTAATCTGTAGAAAGTCAGGATTGGTATTTTACATGCACTGCTAAGGAACCTACTACATGTCAGTATTTTTGTATTCCAGAGCAATAGCTGAAATGGTTTGTAATGCACAAAGACACCACAGACTAGAAACATACTGTCACCACTCCTGTCACTTTGTGCCAGTGATATCAACACCTCAAGCACACTGGCTGAGAGCATTACCAAATGCATACTTCACTCCACATACACACTTTGAAAAAAGATCTATTTTTGAACCATCTCATTCTTTCCCTTCCAAATTGAATTTCTAAATGTTTCCTTCTTATAAAAGGAGGAAGATGCAACAAGCCTTATTGAAAAAGAGAGGCGACAAGCTTCCATCAAAGCTAAAGTACTACGCCTGCAGAGGGACTTGGAAAAGGCCATACAAGACAAAACAGGTTATCTTACAATTTGTTATTTCTCCAGTAAATCTTGCATTCTCACAAGGCCACAAGTGGTAAAAATACCTTTGTGTGTAGTATTACGCCTTTATACATCTTCGTCTTGTTATACTGAATGGCAGGGGTTATCAAGACTGTCTATCCTTTAGGAACCACTGGAGTCCTGAAAATCTCTAGAGCCCACCAGTCACAAAATGGTGATAGGGGAGACAGGATTGCTGTATTCATAGTCTGGGCAGACAATGCCAGGGATGTTATAGACTCCCAGATGGTTCTCTTTCCTGTAGGGTCCCTGGCATTAGAGCTGGTGAAGGAGGCACAATGATCAAGCAATGAAGTCAATAGACTCATGACTCAGTGCAATCCTATATAGGTCTACTCAGAAGCAAGCCCCATTGAGTTTAATGAACTTATTCCCAGGTAAGTGCATTATAGACCAAATTTGTCTAGAACAGTGCCATCCTATTTACTTCCATGTTGTGTAGGGGGATGGAGTGCAGAGTGAGGAAACCTACATGGATTGCATAACACTCAGCCTGCTCAGGCTATATGAAATATATCTGGTAACAAGTTGCTTGGATGCACCCTTATTTTAATGCAAGAGAGCAGGAATGCTAGAATAATTTCAGAAACAATTCCCCAGCTTGCTGTTTGTTATCTTTTTCCCACCGCTCAAAGCTCTGCACTTTTTCCCACCGTTCAAAACCTCAAGGAGTTGTTCAAAGAAGAGAACTAATGGAGGTGCAGAATAAAAAGTTCTTTTGAACTGTTGGGTTGTTTTTAGCCTTCTCTTCCATCCAAAAAATCTCAGGAATATTAATAATCCAGGCTCAGTATATATTTGGGAAAAGTCTAGCCTCTTCTTGCTTAACCTCTCAAATGCGAATAAAGGCTAACTTTAAAAAACAGACCTTTACTTTAGATTGAGTCCTCTGAAATAACAAATTGTATTGAACATTACTCATACAATTGTATTTTTACTATTACTGATCTTTTATTGTAATGTTGTCAGCTTTGTTTCAATATGAGCATATATTGTTTTGGGGGCTCTGGAGTCAAAAGCAGCAGCTACTTTATAATATATATAAGCAGTTTGGCAAAATTCTAAAGGTACTACACTCTTCCCTCCACATTTGCAGCTTTGGCTTTTGTGGATTTGGGTATTCATGGATTTTATTATTTTTTTTCTTTAGGAATATCTAGGTCCTCCAGTGCAACTCTGTGGTCAACTTTAACCAAAGGTCGCACTGAAGGACCTAGAGATTCCTAGAAACAAAACTCCACTAGGCATTTGTAGCTCCTCCAGCACAATTCTATGGTCAATGTCTGACAAACATTGACCACAGAGCTGTACTGGAGGACTTAGATTCCTAGAGGTGTTCTCTCAGGTTAAAACAGTGTTTTTGGGGTTAAGACACTGACTTTGTTGATTGCAAGATCGGCAGGTTGGCAGGTCAAGCCCTGGGCGCTGCATGGTGGAGCGAGCTCCTGTCACTAGTCCCAGCTTCTGTCAACCTAGCAGTTTGTAAGCATGCAAATACAAGTAGATAAATAGTAGGTCCCACTTCTCAGTGGGAAGGTAAACAGCGTTCTGTGCAATCATGCTGGCCACAGGATCACAGAGTAGTTTCTGACAACGCTGGCTCTTTGGTTTAGTAAGATGAGCATCACTCCCTACAGTCGGACACGACTTGAGAGCCTTGTCAATGGAGAATACCTTTACCTTGTTATTTGCGGTTTCCCCACATTCACGGGGGTCCTGTGCCCCTAACCCCAGCAAACGTGGAAGGATGAGTGTATAGTTCATTACAGTTGATTTCCAAAGACATTTATCAGTGCATGAAGAATCAGTTAATGTCAAAATCTGTCCTGTTAGATTTTTTTAACAAACATTTAAAAGCTTTTTAGCAATGGTTATATACTGTATATCTTTTTTAAAGGTCTGGAACGGATGCTTAAAGCTTACACAGAGACTCCACAGTTCTCAGATGCAAAGAATCAGAACGATATCACTGAACAGCTCTATGAGGTACAGTTTGGACTATAAGATGCAAGTTAGGTTTTGTGTTGGCTTTTAAGTATTTGACTGGACTAAATCCAGTTTTAACAGAGTGTAAACTGAAATACCCAAGTCTCTCATAAATACTAGCTGATCCAAGAGCAGATTTGCAATAATTTGACATGCTGGCTGTCAGGTTTATTTGAACTTTCCTTTTAGGACAAGACCCCACAAGAGAGGGCAGACATTTTAAAACAGAGCCTTGCTGAGTACCTCAGTCCTACCTTCCAGAGAAGGGGTGAGGAAAATGCAGCCTACAGGGAGCATAATCCCATCTCCCGCAGCTGTTTTAGGGGCCCCCAGGGCCATCCAGCACACCCAAATATTTTTTAAATGAGGATCATGAGGAAAGTGAACTATGGTTTGAGGGGCTGTGAGTTGTATCTAGTAATTTTCTGTTTTAAAAAGGCCTAAAATGTCCTTGAGGACAACAAATGTGGCAGAATTGCCCCCAATATACTCTAGAGCAGGGGTAGGCAACCTTTCCCCTTTAAGGGCCGAGGGACTTCAGCTCCCAGAAGCCTCAGCCATGTTGGCCAATAGTCCCATGTTGGCCAATAGCTCCCGGGATTCTGGGAGCTGAAGTCCCTCGGCCCTTAAAGGGGAAAGGTTGCCTACCCCTGCTCTAGAGAATGTTGGGGGCCAAACATTTTTTTTGGGGGGGCGGACATCAGGTGAGCCACAGAGGGATGTGCAGCCCACCAAAGTCTCTTGTGGGGCAATAAAGGCCCCCAAGATTTATTGCCTGCCCCTGCCCTAGAGATACAGGCTGGGGTAGTATATTATATCAAATCAGATTTTGTGGAAACCCTGGACTACTGGAGACTGGTTTATATTGCCCCACTGCTCATTTGCAATGGGAGCAGAGAAATAAATTAGGTACCTTCTGTCCCTGGTCTGTAGGCTGACAACTGAACCGTACAGGAACTGCTGATCTGCTTGTCATTCCCCCAATAAGCCAGATCATTCCCTGAACCCAGGCTCTTCCTGGGTTCAGATGTTATGCTGTACTGGGCCCACATAGGAGATACCCCATGCGTTTATCGGCTGGTGTGGAGTTGCACAACAAGGCATGCTGCATGGCCTGAATCTAAATGTGGCCACCAAGCTGAAGACAACATGCAGGAAATACCACTCTTCTAATATAGTAACTTGTTGATGTTTGTATTGCTCAAGACAACATTGAAAGCTACCCTTCTGCAAGCAAACCACTTCAAGTTGGCCAGTGTGCTAGCAGAAATTGAACAGAGGCCTAAACCAACACAACCCTGGAATAACTGCATTTCAAAATGGAAAGAAAAGGTAATATTTAAGAATTATGGTCAATCAGCAAAACACATCTATGTCACTATTTGGAGAAGAGAGATGCCTTGAAAGCCCAGCTGTATAGTCCAGTGAAGGTTCTATACAGTCTGGTCTTTTCTCCATAGATGTGTGTAATGGAAACAAGGAGTCATTGCTACTAACAGGCTGCATTTAGAGAAGTACTTCACTTATTCAATTATCCTATGGCAGGGGTAGGCAGCCTTTCCCCTTTAAGGGCCGAGGGACTTCAGCTCCCAGAATCCCGGGAGCTATTGGCCAACATGGGACTATTGGCCAACATGGCTGAGGCTTCTGGGAGCTGAAGTCCCTCAGCCCTTAAAGGGGAAAGGTTGCCTACCCCTGTCCTATGGCTTCAAATTTTAAAGAGCCTGACAGTTGTGGACTTTAGTTGTCACTGAAGTTTAGAAAAAGGTTTAGAATAACAGGACCCAGTGCTGTATTATATATTAATTATGAATGTCTATGTGTTTCATTGTTTTAAGGATTATTCTCCAGCTTTAAGATTGTGTAAGTTCTGTGCCGCTGAGCTGAACACATAAGATGAACAATGAGAAATAAGCACTTCAGGAGTGATCAGGGATATGCCCTGCTCTACATAAGCTAGCCCATGGCAGAACAAAATCCTATTAGTGTTGCTTCCTATGTTACAAGAAACATAAGTTCATTTTTTAAAACACTTCAATGTACAGAGGCAGAGAAGTGCCTTAAATGGTAAAACCATTCATAGGATTCTCAGCCAACTATAGTTTCTTGATATGTTTGCAGCAAAAGTTTCTCCATTCTCTGCAACATTTAACTGCAGTTGCAGTCATACTGGACAAACATTTAACAGCCCCTGATAATAGGAACTCCAAGTAGCTTCCCCCTCTAAAAATTTTCTAGTAATTAGTTACCAGTTGATAGCATTTAATTAATTAAATTAATCCCTATCTGAGACAGCAGTTATGAATGTTATACTTTCAAGTTATAAAATATTTTGGTGAGATTTTAGCATTTCAG